TGCTGACAGCACTTGAAGTCCTCATTACATTTTTTTACAGATCTTTTTGAGGGGTAGCCTTTATCAACATTTTCCCTAATTCCTCTGAAGAACAGTGTGCTTTTTGTCAATTGGTTACTGTCTTTCATCTGAAAGATATCTTTCTTTGGTAGCCATCATTCTTTATCTCTCTCTATATATAGTGCTTGTAAAGTATATTGGGATTGCTCAGTATGGAAGTGACTGCACAGAATATTTTTAGCAGTAAAAGGCTGTGCTTGGAGGTATCCGGTTCAGTGAGGACAAGCAGTCTGTCAGAATTGCTGCTGGTTCCCAAAGCACTTGCTAACGTTTGCTTCTAGTGTGCGTTGGTCCTCTGGCTGTTGCTCAGGCCCTGGCTGCCTGGTGCCTGGTCGTGCATCACGTTCTCCGTTTCCTCTAGGGACTGTGCGAGATGCGGGAGGTCTGACTGCTGCTGCTCCTGTCCTAGCACAGCTTTGCAGGTCTGCAGCCACCTTCCCTCTCACCAGCAAGAGGCAGCCGGCACCTCTGTGCGTCCCAGAGGCAGAGAGCAATGTCTGCTGGCTCCCTGTCTAGATGCCCTCACTGTCCTTGTCTTCGGCTCCAGGACCAGCTGATGTTCAAAGGGCAGCACATCCTGAATACTCCCTCATTTGATGCTTTCCTTAATTAGTTAGCTGTATACCATCCAGGGAAATGAAGCTGCAGATCTGAGAGTGATCGCAAAGTGTTTTGCTTTTTGGTCAAGCGGGGCCAAACCCAGGCTATGCAGTGGATTGCCAGCTAAGCAGAGAGCTAGTTTCAAGGTTAATCTCATTTCAAAAATAGAGGGAGGGAGATGCATTACAATGTTTCATTGGAAAAAATGTCAAAAGCCATTAGCTGCTGGCTGAAATATGTGAAAGGGAGCAGCATTAACTCTGCTCTTCATTTTGCGTGGAGGTGAAATGAAACATTTCACCATTTACCTTTGGGAATTAAGATGCAACATGTTTTTAAGGTCAGTTCCTCTGTTACAGGGATTCTCAGTATAAATATGAAATAAAACTTGTTTTCCTTTGCACATGCTTTCTTTTTAACATACCATATTGTCTGTTCACTTACATATGGCATGAATGTTGACAAATATAGGTACACACATGCACATATATGTAGTGCACTGAACAGCTGTGTATTTCACATGCACAATTTTCCTTGTCAATGTGCTACATACATAATGTCCATGTTCAGGGAATAGCATGCCTGGGATAGCACCACCTGCCAACTAAAACAGGTCGATCAGGCATATTCATACATTCCAACCTCCTGACCAGTTTCAACTACTACTATTTTTAACTTGCTAGGGAATATTTCTTTCTTACTTTCACCTTGCAAAAGTACATACCTTCAAAAACTGAAAGAGAAAGGCTTCCCTTCTGGACTTGCATGTATCTTCCTAGAGCTAAAATCTGTCTGGATTAAAAATCCCAACTAATGTAAATTTCCACTGGACTAAAAATAAGTTTTATTTCTTTGGAAAGAGGGAAGTACCTAGCTTTTCAAAAGAGACAGAGCTTGCATCTGGCTGTGAGAAGGATCTACATACTGAATATCTAAATCATGACATTTGTAAATATGTTTAATTTAAAAAAATGTTTTTATACTTAAAGGCTCCACTGCTTCTACTTAGGTTGACCTGCATATTGCAGAGCTCCATAAACTCATATGAAAATATCTCTTCTACTGCCTGAGCCTGTATTTCATCAGTGGCCACTGTCCATAAACTGTGTGCATGACTAGCTCCATATTTGTGTATCCCTTCCCTGATGTGCTTTGTGACTTGACCTTTTGCTCTGGACGCTGTCCTTCCCGCACACCCCTGTCTTGCCTCTGTGGCAGGAGGCAGTGTGCAGATGCTACTCTGTGGGAGCAGCTTGTTCCAGCTTTCCCGTGGTCTCACCTGTTAGCTGTAACCATAGACCGGCTTGCTTATCCCTTCCCTTTGGGGGTCTTCTACCTTGGATGTGCAAATGGCGAGTAGTCCTTTTTCTCAGCCTGGTTTTTCAGGCTTCCTGGACATTTCCAACAAAAAGGAGGAAAGGGCTTTCTGCAGTCATCCCCGCTGGCTCAGCTCTCAATAGGGATGTGATTTGGTTTGAGTATGGGCATATGTTGACATGTCTGTCAAATTAGAGAGATTGCATGATGCAGAGTTCATGCTGCCTTTGTTCCAGCTGTGGGAAGCAGGCAACAGATGATGCAGTGGAAGTGCTAGCTGGCCCCTGCAGATATTAGGTATGAACACAGCATTTTAAATCCAATTCTGGGATCTCTTGTGCCACTAAACTCTGGCCTAAAATATCTGCAATTTCTTAAGCAAGGCCATTGAGTCTAGCTCAGCTAAGCCTCCTTAAGCAAGCATGGTATTTTATAACAAATATATCTTGAGGAACAGTAATTACCCATACATCTTAACGTGGCAGGCATTGGAGCATCTCCAGCAGCTTACAGAGACTAAATATGACAAATAAATGTCATGAGTGATGAAGCCAGAGAGCAATGTGTCTTGAGCTGATGGATGCTCTCTGTCCCCTGTCAGGATGTGGGCTGGGCAGGGTTCCCAGGCTCCAGCTCAGTGCAACGTTTCAGTATATGCTCACTTTTAAGTATAAAGTGCTTTCTCCCTGCTAAAGCAAAAGGGACAGTTCATAAGTTTCAATCTCCTCGTGTGTATGTGAGTGTTCCTACTTCCACAGAATGATGTGGGTAATTCTGGATAATCTGTATCAAGGATGGTCCTTTACTGAAGGTAGTCATTAGTAAGCCAAAGCTCTGAGGGCAACGGTGTATACTTGTCTGCCCTTTTCTTTTAAATGCCAAATTACATATATAAAAGACACAATCAGCTATAAAGTACAGAGGCAGAACAGAAATCATACCAGAGGATTTTTACGGTTGAAGGGTTACCACAGAGGTATACTATATGAACGTGCCAAAAGATTTCCACTTCAATACAGAGCACGAAACATAGCTAGTGAAATAATTACTGACAATTAGCAAGTCAGCAAAGGGAAAATGTATTGGTGATAGCATTGCTGTTTATAATTATCCATTGCAATCATTAACGAACTCTTTAAAAGGATTTCTGTTGTAAACCCCTCAAGAGAGTGGCACCAAAGCGTTCGGTGTTGGTAGCCCACTTTCCTCCTTTGAGAGCACAACTATGTAAAACCGATGGGAAAACACTGGCATCTGCTTGCTGCTTTATTCTTTCAGTGAAAGTGTAGTTTCCTTCGATTTAAAAGTCTTTGTTTAATGTTCATGTGTATATATATCTTTTAATAATACGTTAGTCTTTGAGTTTCTTGGCTTTGTCTGTTGGGCTGCCTCTTCTGCTCTGCAGTTGGTCACACTGTCAGTGTGTCCTCAGGCACGGTGTCCCTTGTTGCATGGCGTCATCTTTGTTTTCTCGTTGACCTACGTGATAACGAAGCGAGTGCTTTGCAGTATTTACAATTGATGTATTTTAATTTCTGAGCAGTTCACATTTTTCCTCAGCTTTTAGCGTGACTAATGATTAATGTAATTGTCTTCAGAACCGAGTCTCAGCACCCACCCAGGATTGTTTCTGTAGCAAGGCTGAGCTGGTTAAAGTGTATTTGTACAAATCTCTGTTAAAATTAAAACTGTCCTCATTGCTGAAAGAAAAAATCCAGGAGGTTGCTGGCTGGTCTCCACAGGTAGAGATTATGGCCTCTTGCTTTGGCGGGGCATAGATGTGAAATACATTTCATCCCCCTGCAGCCAGAGCAATGAGGCCATGGCCAGGCCCATCCTGGATTGCTGCTTCAGCCACTTGAGTTCGCAGCCATTTTGGGCTCCCACAGGCCACTGCCCGTGAGCCTCGCTCCCCTCTGACACACTGTAAATGTCTCCATATGTCTATTTTATTTTTACTGCGCTGTTTGTATTTAGTGACAATCCAAACTGTAAGTGCTGGCCTAGTATGGTGGCAATATGTGCATTTTTTGCTTGCTTGAAAGCCCTGCGTAAGCTAGTAAGTCGGCGAGTGTGGCCCTGAGGCTGCAGCACGGTCTCGCTGGCTGGTTTTTAAGCCGTTAGATAAAAGAAGGTCAAGAACCAGGCCCTTGCCTGGAGGCTGTGATGTGTTTGCTTGCATCTACACCACGTAGGGCTTGCAGATTGGTCTGGAAAAGAGCTTGTTGAAGCAGTCTAAAATGAAACTTGGAAGCAGACTAAAAATTTATTCATGTGGACAACCAGAAGGCCACTTCCTCAGGCTCACTACCTTCCTGCCTCTTATTTACATGTAGCTCTGTGTGTGCAAGGCAGTTGCTTCCTCAGCCTTGTTTTTCAGCAACTTTTTAGAGGTTATTCATTTTTATAGGTTACTCCTTGACTTCTCTGAAGATCAGCTTGGTTGTCTGACAACTGCTAGGTGTCTCAACACTGCGATGGGACAGTGTTTTGTTATCAGTCATTTGGTTTTGGAGGTCGAGAGCTGTGAAGGCACCCAGTGAGTGGGATTCTTCAAAAATAAGTATCTTTTGCTTTATGCTGCAAGAAATAACTACATCTGTTGTGATATGAGTGAGCGCAGTACAGATATCTACATGTAACTATTTTCTGTGGGGTTTTGTAAAGGGAAGAGTTGGTACAAAGGGGGGATAACTTTTTGCTACCATTCTCTGTTACAGCTAGATAATTATGTTTAATTAGGTAGGGGTTCATCCGTGCTAAGCTAGATGTTCTCATTTTTTGAGAATTTTGTAGGGATGTATTTTTTAAAATTACATTTCAGGAAAAGCTGTCATTTTTAAGAGGAGCTGCACTTTTAAAAAATATAAATGAGTGGAAAAGCTAATTTCTCAACATGTGGTGCCAAGCTGTCTAGCAGCTCTAGTATATTCTGTCGACACAAAGCTGTATTTTTAGCCTGACTCTCTGCTATGCATGTTGTCATAACAGGTGCTTGATGAGACCATTTTCTTTGTTTATAGATGAGGTCTTGTCCGAAAACTTTTTGGACTACAAGAACCGTGGCGTCAATGGCTCTCACCGTGGTCAGATTATCTGGAAGATTGATGCCAGCTCTTACTTTGTGGAGCGTAAGTATTTTTTCCAATCCTCCTACAGTATAATTCACTCACTGCAGAAAGATAATTGAGCTGCTTAAGTTGTTCTTATGATGTTTTTATGCCCAATATGTCCTTTAGGAAAGGCCAAAAATGTTAACAAAATCTTTGAATGTATTGAGAGGAATTGAAACATTTTGTGGAGTAGAAAACCACAGTTTCTGCAAGCAAATAAATCTTGTAGACATTGACTTATTTACATATCATTTTTTATACAGTTATGAATAAGTGTTTTAATCCATTTGTTATTTGGACTATATCATTAGTAATGAGCTGCATTAACTTTAATATGGTATTAAGGAAAAGAGGAACTCAGGGGCATAATCTCACTCCAGGAAGATTCACACTGACTTTTAATTGGAAAACTTCATGGTGCATCTGGCTTACACCAGATTCAGGTGTATTTGGAGGTAAAAAGGGTCAAGTTCTGATCATCATCTAGACCAATAAAAGTATAACAATATGTAGTTGCCGTAAGGTACACTGATTTCAAATTGTTCTTCATCATTCATATGTTACCCAGGGCATCTGATGCAATGCAGTGTAACTCTTTTCCACCCCATTAGCAATTAAAATACAGAAACACTGAATTTGCTTCTGCAAAGTACTTGCACAGCAATTTCACATTTCCATGCTTGGCTGTCCCACATCCCTGACCAAAGTGAACCTTGACCATTCAAGTCCTTCCTCTTTTCAAAGAGTTACTACGTGCTAGCGTAAATGGAATTCATGGTCGTCTTTAGAGAACAGAAATAGGGTACTCAAAAGACTGGACTGAGATCTATAGCGAAACATCTGTGGTGAAAGAGCTACATGTATCCTTAAGGAGGAGTTAAGCGTGAAGAAGCCTAGCATGCAACAATTTGTTTTTCAATTCTACTGAATGTTCCCAATGATCTACCTTAGCCTGCTGGGCAAAATTCAGAAGTTTTGTAAAAGCATATATAAATTGCATGACAGTTAGGGTATATTTGTTTAAGACTGTCTGAATTTGAGAGCAATCAAGTGAATCTTTGATATAACTAAATTCTAAAGGATTTGGAAAGGATGAGAGTTATACTTGATTAGATGAATCTATGACTTTGACCTTAAGTATCTGGTATCAGCAAGGATGCTATGTGCAGACATTTTATGTATACTCAGTCCTAGAAACAAGTTATCTCTTTTCAGTATGAAGCGTTGCTGATGGCCTGTAATTCCGAGTGTTGAGAATGTTGTTCTAAAGAATTAAGGGAGCTTCTGAAATGTCTACAGGACATACAGGATGCTTATATCCTGTGTTTTGAAAAATACATTTATGGAAAATTGTTTAATATGTAAGAACATGAGTTTTAGTTATCCTGGTTTTGCGGCAGAAATACATTACAGGTTCTAAACTTTAAAGCAGACTCTAATTTGCAGCTGCTTCTTTGAGCTGTGGTTACTAATCTGTGAGACTGATCATGCTTTCTTTTAGCTGTTAGTGTGGGACGGAGATCTAAAATCCCAGAACTGGGCTTTGAAGAGGCCTTAGTACCTTGGTTTATTGAGGAAGAGTGGAAGTGGGACCGGGCTGCTGGTAGCTTTCCTGCCTAATCCACAACAGAAAAGAAAGAGGCAATGTGAGAAATGCTTAGGAGAAAGCCTCTTCAGGTGGGCCATGTTTCATTAAGGGCTCAACTGCACAATGATTTATGTCAGCTTATTAAGTTGCCCCCATTAGCTGAGACATAGTAGCTGTTGTTAATTGATTGCATGTATGTTCTTCACTTGCCCTACTGTAAGAAAATGCAGCTTAGCATAACCATCCTTCACTGATGCTTAAAACTAAGTCGTACTACACTGTAGTTGGGCAGCCCATGCTTCATGAGTTGCTGCTTCTTGGTAATTTGTTATGCTGCTATCATTAGTTTGTGAATCTCAGTCCTGAGATTATGTACCAGTGCACTCATCAAGGACAAATCATTGCCCTGTCCAGAATTAAAATAGGAGAAAATGAAGTAGGCAGTAGTAAATAACAGCACATATGGATACTTAGAGCCACTTGACTATTGAAGTGGGAAGTTAAAGCAGTGAAAAATGTTATGTATGTGAATTTTATATATCTAAAAATATTTGACTGTTCCTACTCATTGTTGAGATGTCTATATGAAAGTACACAGCTTTGTAGTTGATTAAATGTCACGTTAAAAACTGCAGTGTCTGAAAACCTTGTGTATTTTCTATCCAAAGAGGACAGTGAAAACCACATTCCTTCAGACTTTCATTTTTTGGACAGAGATCACATCTTCCTTTTATGTTGCATAGCACACAATACGGTGACATTTGCAGGAATCTGAAAGATACTGGTCATCAAAATCAAACTCACCTAAGAAATCTATTTTCTTTTTCTTGCCATTCACTACAGACCTGAGAGAACCTGGAGGACAGGGCAAGGGGTATGTTCAGTGGTAATGTGGTATAAGAATTGCCATGTTGGTCCAAAGTTAACCTGACCTGGTGGTTAACCTAACCTCCAAAAATGGCCAATAGTTTAGAGTTGAGGAGGGTATAAAGGTAAGCAAGTGTTAGTGAGTCTTCTAGCTGGAGTGTTCTTAGCTTCTGTTAATCTGTAGCTCAGGCACTTCCCGAGATGGTAGTGTTTTTATTTAGTGGTTGTCAAGGCACATAGTAGGTAGCTAAGATGTGGTAATTTATTTTCAAGGTATCTGTATTGTTTTTCTAAGCATTATGTTATACTTCCCTTAACTTGCTTTTGATTGGAGTCTTGCTGATTATAGCATTAATTCTCTATAGAACAAAGTAGCTCACTTGCGAAGGCAGCCCTTAATTTCTGCTTTTGCTTTTCCTGTAACTATCTGTACCTTGGTATCTGTTCACCACATGAGTCAATATTGGTAATTTATCAACCACACAGTGCTTCAGAAAATGTTATGGTATACGCTGCAGTGTTTGGCCCATCGTAGCTGGCAGGAGCCACGATAAAGGGGAAATCACAGTATAGTCAAATAAAGAATCAGCCTTACATAGAGAATTTAAAGTTCACAAGAATTTAAGGCAATCCACGCAGACTAGTTTGGTTCCTGTTCTTGAAATGTATAAAGGTTTAACACTTTTGGTGGTGCTATTGTGTGAGGTAAAATAGGTTTATTATCAGGGTGACCATGGGGATCATCCTGTCCAACTTCAGAAGTCAAAGTGTTTCTTTTGCCAATGGTTAGACTTTAGGATTCCTCATGGTGTGTTTTGTACTACATTTAAGGAAATTACCGTTATGCTGTGATCAGCCAGCCACTTAACATAAAGAGCTTAAAAAGACATTTTTGAACTTTTTTTTTGTTAAAGAGCAATATGAGGGAACTTGAAAAATCAAAGGTATTAAACATTGGCTGATTTGTAACAGTGAAATTCCCATTAATCTGAAAAAAGAAGTGTTAGGAATGAGGTCAAGTAAATAGCGAGTTATTACTCATTTTCTATATTTTGAATCTGGAGGCATATATAATGTGTTTGGGAGTATTTTGTTCAAAAGCCTTAATGTTCCCCATTTAGTTATCCTTTCTTTCCTGCATTTTTGAAAATTAACAAACAAATTAAATATGACACTAACTATGTAACCTGTAGTCCTTATACATAAAACCACTGTTTAGGTACTTAACAGAATACTGACATCTAATCACTGTAGATAGTAATTTGTATGCAATGATCTGGGACCTGGAATAGAAGTGAGTAAAGGCAAAAGTGGCTGGAAGTTACTTTGTGGTGGCAGATTATCACAAGAGAAATCTTTTATCGGATGCAGTTGTAATGATAATTACTGGCAAAAAACATCAACCTGGAGGACCATACTAGACAGAAATTGTGTACATGCTGCCACTATGGGCAGAAGAAACTAACAATATTGTGAGAGATTTGTAGAAGTGCATCAGGAGCGGAGAACACAAAGGAAAGCATGGCAAGAAATTGAAACCGTTTTTTAACTGCACTTTTTGTACTTTTATAAAACTGAAATTCTGCCATTTCAGATGCTTCTCTGTTTAAGCTATACTTTCACAGTATTCTCAGTGGATTGCCCAGTCTGAGTCATTAAGGGTTACTTTTTCAGGTATATTTAAGATCTTACTAGGTTAAGAAGATGCTTTTTGTGTGGTAGGTCAATGACAATGCAAAATAGTTTTCTTTTTGGAACATGCTTCTATGTTTTGGGGGTATTTGGGCAAAATACATAAATTTGCTGATAGCCTGGTTTAAGACCGTCTAGAGAGCCCTATCACTTTTCAAAACAGGTAATTTCTTAACATGTACCCATACGGCATTTTCAGATACCACAGATGTTTAAAGTTTGTGTTTGTTTTAGTGATTTACTTTTTCACCTTGAACTAAGATCTTTTCCAGAGAAGCGCGTGCCTTTCCGCTTTGCATATCACAAACTTGCAACATAATGTTGCCAGACAGATATGTAATTGGTGTGAGCCAGAGAGGGAATTGCTTCCAAATTACAGCACGAATGCCTGCAGAACAGAACTCCTCTCCTATTAATACCCAGCAAACAAAAAGCCTTAACAGCTGCAGAGGCAATGTTGCACTACGGCCAGTTTTGCATTTCTGCAGAAGTCTAGCAATTTGGGGTTTTATGACAGCCAGTGATAAACAGTAACTATCCACTGTAACCATGAAATGGTTGGGGTTTGGGGAGAGGAAGGAGGAGGGGAAAAGAGGCTACATACCACTAGGGATATATCCTTTGTGTTAAGGCTTGGAGGGCACTGCAGTGAAAGAACCAGCCTATAATGGGTTTTCCAGGAAAGTAAACGTGCTCTGCCTCACTGCAATTTCTGGCACACTGTTTTTTGGCTTATACAGCATAGAATCGTTAAGGTTGGAAAAGACCTCTAGGACCACTGAGTCCAACCATCAACCCAATGCCACCATGTCCACTAAATCGTGTCCCTAAGTGCCGCATCTATACAAAGAGAGAGTGTGCAAGAGACCAT